TGATTTAAAAAAATAGTGAATGCTTTCATCTCCTTTTTTTTTTAAGTATTGCAGTTCTCATCACCCTGGTCTGAAAGTTAATCATCCTCCTCCAGTTTCAAATATCTGAAAACTCAATGCAAAATAGCATCCCCTATGAGCATTATGATACTTGCACAGAATGGTTGTTTTCAGCCTGTCTAGGTTAACTGTATCTATCAAATAAACCATAAATAAATCAAACAACATTTTACGTGTTATTTTTTGGCATGCAACCACGCTAAATTTCATTGATCTCTAAAATGCAGTTAGAAATTCCTCCAAACAGCCAAAGAGCACTATCAACGTTGACGTTTTCAATAGTTTTCTGACCCTCAATATGAAAGAGGGACACACTTTCAGTAGTTCTATTACTTCAATATGCAACATTTTAACTACTAATAAAGTCTGTATTCATTGTTGAATGAGAAAAAAAAAAAAGATACTTTTGGTTATTTGTGTAACACTTGTCCTCCATGTTCTCCTCAGAGGAAAAATTACCACCTGGATGTTCAACAACGAATTTACTCTGAATCTAAAACATTTTCTTCTGTGTTGTGTTTGTGGGGTTTACGGTAATTCTTGCATGATTGATCTTGTGGAGCTTATTTATGAGCATAAACATTCCGTGCATAAACTGGAAAAGAACTTGACTGCCATGTATTTATAAGTCCTCCATCTCTTCACACCGTCTTTTGGCTCATTGGGGAACATACTTGGTAAACTACACCTGCAAGTTTACAGAACATCATCCCTTAGTTGAAGCATTTCCTCCCATGAGAGAATGTCAGTTTGGGTTTGAGGCACCTTTTTGCAGAATACTGGATTTTATGACAGAACTTGGCCCTGACAGACAGAACCGGTGTAGTGAAACTATAATTTGGCCAATATGGAGGTTTGTCAGTAAATTAAGGCACAGGACCAAGACAGGGAAGTCTGTAAAATTGTGGAAACATACAATATTGCAGAAAATGTTATTTGTCCTCTATATATACACTGAGGTGTAATTTCAACTAGGGAAAAGTACCGTCTGTGTCCCTGCAACTTTCTAAATCTTTTTGTTGTTATTTTTTAACCACAAAAATTGTGCTTAATACCCTACTGTTTGGCCAGATGTCAGATTCTAAATGAGAAATGTAAATTGAGCTGCTGATTTTGCTCTGATATACTCCAAAAATGGACAGCCTGTGTGGTCCTATAATGCATTTCTAATTTTACCTAATGTTAGCTATAACCAGTACCACTACAGTAATTAAGATAACTACACACTAAAGCTAACACATTCCTTAACAGGGATCTTATACAAATATTGACAGTGTGTGACTACTAGTTTCATATCATTTAATACATTTGTATATGTTGATTGAAGTTGCAAA